GGGGGGGGGGGGGACAGTGTTACTGCCACTAATATTTGAATTTTTTAATATTCTCGATCGAAATATTAAACTTTCTAAAATTAATATTTTGTATCGCATATTTTGAAACAAGTAACATTTACTTGAATGCAATATATATTTTTCTGCGTGTAGAATGTAAATATTTAATATTTAATAAACGATAACTTATCTGGATTCGGAATTGTTTGAATGCGAGAATGATATATTGAAAAATGTTTCACGACTGGCGGCAGTGACTGTTTAGCAAGAGCGGCTTTGTGATCTTTGATCTTGAAACGCATCGTGTCTATGCGATTCGTAAGTTCGCCGGCTTCTTCGGCGCACTTCCTCGTTTTCTCGTTAATTACAAACAGCTCGTCTTCTCTCGCTCCTCTCTCGCGGAATCAGCCGTCTGTAATACTATACCGTTCCTTTCGGCGAACTGCATCAACGGCTTCATTTTCACGTGAGGATGTCGATTAGCATAAGCGGCATTACGCGTTGAATTCTCGTTTAACTTCGAAAAAACTCATAGTTAACTGGATGGGCGACAGAGAGACTTTCTTGCTAAATTTTACAAATAATTCAGATAGAAGTTTTACCTTTCTCTCTTTGTCACTTATATCGATTAAATACAAAACATGCTATATTGTAGTGTTTACTAGTCATTTATCTATCTTAGCTAATTTCTCGTATCTAAATAATTTTCGCACTACGACTACAAGATCACTTTTTAGTGAAGATCATTACAGATAAAATCCTTTTCGACTATGTAATTTTCGATTTTATTACACTACAACATCTACGTACAGGTTTTTAAATTAATTGATTTAATATCAACAGACCCTCTATATTTGAATTTTTCTTCTTTCCCTTTGGTCCCTTTTAGAGAGTATTCATATCTTAGCAGAAAACAGAAAGGCAGAAGCCAGTCAGAATTCGCGCTGGTAGAAAAGCAGAAACTAGTTGACTACCAGCACGAGTTCTGATTGGCTTTTCCGCCAAGACATTTCTGATCTAACTCTTAGGATAGAGTTGTGAGAATGTTAGAAATGTTAGAAATCTGACATGTCCTGTTGTAATATAAATGGTAAAAAAGGGTCAAGTTTTTAGGTACGCTTATCGCTAACTCAATATATCACAAATGCTTCGATACGTCGTCCCGGGAATGCTGTCGAGCGCGTTGTTAATAAATCCTCGAACAATTTAACCGCACGCGTTGCGCAAGATTGAGTTAGCTCTTCGTCGCAAAAAAAGATCCGGGCGGTTTGCATCTTCTTCAAGGGCCGCGGCGCCTCATAATTCACTTAGAGTCAGCTCGCCTGTCTGCACGTCGGTCGAGACAGCGGCAATTACGCCCTACGTACGTAAAAACCGAGCGCAACTCGAGGCACGTTTTTCTCGTGGCACGTTTCAACAAATGCCCACCGTCGTTGTTCACTCGCAGCCTCCGTAGAGATGAGAAGTAATCATGCATTCCAGTAGCAGGAGCTATTATCGCGTAGACCCGAGTCGAAATTTCAGCCCTACTTTGGACCTCAACTTTCTGACATCTGCATATTCTGAGGGACCAGTGTATGTGTAATACACATAGAAACTACTGAAGTCCTACTTGGCGCCTCTGAATGGCAGAAAACACACAAAATGTCACTTGTAAGTTCTAAAGAGGACCTTTCGGTAAAACTAGTAAGTTAAATAGAAAAAGAGGTTGATATAGACTTCAAAATATCGAGATAGGCGTTAAGTGAAATATAGGAGTTGGAATTAATATCGAAATTTCAACCTCGGCATTCCATTTATTAATCTCTCGACAAAGCTAGTAAATTAAAGTCAAAAGGGGCTGATATAAGCTTCAAAATATCAAAGTAGGCGTCCAATAGAATATCATAGGACATTATAAGATTTCGACTCGGGAGAGCAATATTATCAGTCAAAATATCGGAGTGTTTTCCGGAGTTAAGTACAGCTACAGGAAAATTTACGATGACATATCGACTATATGAAATACCGAAAACAATGAAATCTTATCATGGTCTGATAAAGATAGGCGGGGTAAGATAAAGATAGACGGGACAACGATAGAACGAACGATTTGATAAACAAAGTTTCACATAACAAATTGGTTGAAACATTTGGTTGAAACATGCTCGTTTGTCAGCTTGTCGTTGAAAGTTTGTCAAGGCACGGAGCCTACTTTCTGAATTTCTTGGAGTAAAATTTCACTCCAAAAGCAAACTGACCATCAAATCACTCGAATTCGAGTGACATTTTACTCACATAGAGTGAATTCTCCACTCTGAATAATCGAGTGAATATTTTTACTCGAAATTCAGCAGTGAATTTCGCGTGCTCCACTGTCATACGAATATATTTCCACTTAAATTTGCTCGTAGATATTGCCAGAATGTTGCTGCTGTTGCAAATTCTACGTACAGCAAGCAATTCATATCGGCACGTAGAATACATCAGCTATCACTCTACTCTCACTGCGTTAGGACAAATATGCACTAAAAGAAGGATGACCAAAATCTGGTTAAAATGGGATCAACTAAATGTTTGGTAATCACAAGTAAAAATTTTCGCATCTAGCAGATACGAAAAACAGTGATAAATCTTCACCGTGACATCTGGACTTCTACTTGGACCAAAGTGAGACATTTTTTCGAGCCAAGTCGCGGCCGCATCTCCGACTCGTTCGTCGCGCGACAGCTCGCTGTTAATTCATAGTCGAATGAAATCATCGCGCCAAAGCATGCGGCAAAGTAAGAGAGGCAGGAGGAGTCCTGCCGCGAGGGTGGTTCGCGGTGGTCGGTCTTTCCACTTCGCGAGCGCGAACACGTCCGCTTCGTGTTGTTCGACGCGACTCGCCTCGTAGTAATTCATTTAGACGGTAGTCAGACGAGAGACAGGCTCAATTACACCCGCGGCAAAAAACGCGCGGCCCGACCGACCGCCGGTCGCTTCCTCGTACGACGTGCGTGGTCCGCGTCCGTTCGCAACGCCGAAACGACACCAGACGAGACGGCTGAGGCGAGGCGCGGGTGTCACGCCGGGGACACACAACGCGCGGGTGTCGTCGGTGTCGTCGAGGACCCCCGACGGCTCGTGTCCTCCGT